TGATAGGGTACTGCCACAAGCCTTTTCGTTCCACATGGAAGTCAGGCACGTTCAGGTAGAAGCAGGAATCCGCATTGTGGGTGAGGCTGCTTGGAGGAGCTGTCAGCGACTGCAGGTGGTTCACTTACCGAGCACAGTCGTCTGCATGCAGCGTGGAGCGTTTCGCAGATGTTACCTACTCCGAGCTGTGTTGGCCCCGGGATGCAGGCAATTCGGAATCAAGGTCTTTGAGGCATGCTGCTCTTTAACGCAAATTGGGGCAACTAATCACACAACTAACCAGTTAGCCCCGCAAGCACAATTCCGGCCTCGAGCCTTTGAGAAATGTACGGCTCTGCGCCACCTCAACCTGGAAGCAACGGAGTATGACCCCACCAATCCGAAAAGATGCTTGCCTGAATGTTGTTTCTTGGAAGCCGGCGTCGTCTCGCTCTCCCTGCCGCCAGATTTCACTTGGGTTGGGCCTGCAGCTTGTGAGCATTGTCAACAGCTTCAGATAGTTGACCTGTCCCGAACGGATATTATCGAAATACTGGGATCTACATTTGCACACTGCTCGCATCTGCAACAGCTTAGCCTCTCCAGCAACTTGCGGAGAATAGAGCAAGAAGCTTTCCTCCAGTGCGCCTCACTACAAGAGGTTTGCATCCCATCAACCTTGCTGTACATTGCTCGGCGTGCTTTTGCTGGCTGCGCGCAACTTCACACATTCTACAAAACTGGGAAAAGCCCGACTTGGAGGGGACATACGCTCGGGTCAATGCCTTTGACAAATGCGAGCAATTAGACAAGCCGAAGTGGCTTCGTTTCCTGCCGCCAAACGCCAAAGACAAGTGGAGGGAAGACTACACTGAAGCAGTGCGCTAGGACTTACAGTAGCTTAGTCACACTGTGCTAGCGTAAGGCGTCCTTCTCCTACGGTTCGAGTGAAAGTCAGGCTCCGACAAGCAGATAGAGTCATCAATCTCGCCTTCATCGCCTGCAATTTTGTGAGCCCACCGGGATGAGAGCCTTAGCTCCTCGTCCCTGGTAGGCGGGTGGTAGCAGAGCGGTTGATGGAAGGCGCCCAGGGAGAACCTTAGTTGCTCGCCTGCTGGAGCCGAACCACAGCCAATCTTGTACAAAGATGGCATAAGTACCATGCTAGGATAGGTCTCTGTCTCACCTGTTTCACATGGGCCATGCATGTTGTAGGATAGTGACCTTAATGCTCACTATCGGATGGATAAGTCACCCCTTTGGCAAACGCGTGGGAGCCATTGGGTGTGTGTTGTGCCTCCCTTGCGGGAGGGAAATCAACACGTCGTCAGCAGTCCTTTCGTTGCGATGCCTTCCACTGCCACACTCAAGATTAGCCTCTGCTTTTCGTATGCGCAATCAGTTGTATAGTTTGTGCCACGGAGAGGGAATTTTCCACGGCCTGCCATGCCTTGCAACTGATGACTCCTTGGGCAAGTGTCATTGTCACTGCTGACTCTGCTTGGCACTTCGTAGAATGTCGAAATAATCCGAGTGCCAACCATTCGAAGTGGCTGTGGTGACTTCATCCTTGCCAACAGAGTGAGGCCACATTTGATTGGCCGTCCCGAGCTACCAACCACGTTCAATGCAGTTTGCCTTTCGTTGTGAATTCAGGCCCTTAGATATTTTGCAGCTCATCTTTTCACCTGTCTCACATCCGTACAGAGGAAACACTACCGACATTGATTGGGGGTCTTTGGTTGTGGCGTTGGCTTTTGTTTGGTTTTGGGTTGGGTTTTGGGGTTTTTGTTTGGCTGTTTTGGTGTTGGTTTTTGTGTTTTGCTTCCCCCATCAATACGCTGTGTTTCCTATCCTTCTACGATGACCTGGGCACACCGCCCACATGGCGTCCGCACTCGTGGAAAAAAATCACGCTCCCCACCAGCGCTCGCGTGGCGGCTCATTGGGATACAATACCCTATGCTCTGCGGTCCCAAAAATGGCCAGTGGCACATTGGCACGGGTTCGATCGCATGCATTGTTGACAAAGCAGATTGGGCACTGACTGTGAATCATGCCTTTGAACGTCGCAAAGCCCTGGACCCTGCTATGAAGCTTCCGTGGGAACAACCTTCGACGCAGGGAATCTTTCACAACAGTCTGGGCCTCAACTTACCACAAGTGCATGGTATAGCTTGGAGCGGCTCACAACTAAGACTGAAGATGGTAAGCAAATCTTGGCAAGCGGAGAAGCTGAAGTTTGTGCAGATGCTGCTTTTCTCAGTGCTGTGAAAGACATTCAGAACTTGGACTACTTTGAAAACAAACGATTGCAAACAGATTTGGCCTGCGCCAAGTGGCTTGATATTCTTGCCATAAACTGGAGTGCATCTGCCATTGGCCAACAGGTTTGTGAGATCTCAGGAGCGATCCCACTGGAGAGATGGCGAATGAAACCCTCAAGGCTTGTTGTGGTAGAAAGAGTTATTCAACTTTGCTCAAGCGTGCAGGAACTTTGAAACGTTTCATTCTTTGGCACAAAGATCACTACTTTGAGAGAGGTTTCAGTGTTGATGCAATACCGCTGCATGAGCCAGATGTTTGGAACTATGTCAGGCACTTGACAGAGTCTAGAGAGAGTCTAGAATCCGCGATGCACGTGGTACACTGGACCTGCCACTTTCCTTGAGACTGTGAGGTTCACAAAGTTCATGTAGACATCCTGGAATCTAGGAGATTGCAAGGTTGTGCGGGAGAAGGGGCCTACTCATCAGGCCCCACCTGTGGAGCTGGAACATTTGAGGCGGCTACATTCAGTGTTGTTGAATGTTGGTGCAGTTTGCATGCTTTTGTGTACATATGCACGAGCACGTTGGAGCGATCTACGCTTCGTTCATCATGTTGAGATTGAAAGCAAGAGGAATGGTTGTTTGGTCTTGTACACAACTGAGCATAAGACTTGTGCTGTTGGCGAAAAGAAGGAACAATACTTGCCCTTTGTTGTTCCTTGGGACGGAGTGACAAATGACAACTGGCTGCAGATTTTCTTGGATCTTTACCAACAGGTTGGGCTGAATATTCACAAGGTACCGCTGGGTCCTCTGCTTCCTGCTCCTGGATCTGGTGGTGGATTCTGCGCACGGCCCTTGACCACGTCTGAAGCTGCAGCTTGGTTGCGAGGTCTTTTGAAGGGAACTTCTAATTGGGAAACCTTTCGCTCCCATTCCATGAAAGCTACCCTGTTGGACTGGTGTGCAAGATCTGGAATGGATAAGGAAGTTCGGTCAGTGCTTGGGCATCATTGCAGTGCTGTGAGTGGTTCGGAAGTAGTGTATGCCCGTCATTTGCAGGCCAGGCCAATTCGAAAGTTGATGATGCTGCTCCGGTTAGTCAGGATTGGCATGGGCCTTGAGGAAATCGCTGACAAAGGCAACATTCCAGGTGTCACACCGGCAGTGGGTACACCTGGACCTGGTTTTGGGATTCATGGTTGTGCAGCACGGACACCTGTGTTGCCAGTTGAGCGTATTCAAACCGAAGAAGACCCGGTTCAGGATGCAGTTGAAGGTGTTCAGGACCACGAAGACCAACTTTGCATCAAGGAAGAGATGAACAATGCTGCAGATGTTGCCGCCTCAGCAAGCAGCTTGAGTCTGTTTCCAGAAAGCATTGTTCAAATTGGTTTGATCGAGATCGATAGTTCGTCCGGCAGTGACAGTGAGTCGAGCAGCTCAAGCAGTGATGAGCCGCTAGCTGAGACTTTTGAAGCAAGTCACGCATACACTGAAGTAGTACCTGAAGGCTTGACCCTTGCGTGTGCGCGCAGTCCGAAATGACCAGGAAGTGACTGTGTGCAAAATGAAGATAACAGCGAATTTTCAGGAACTGGGCCGCACCTTGAACTTCAGGTATCCGAAGTGTTTGAGGTGCTTCCCAAACGATCCAGGGCGCGTGCGTAGTCGTGAAGACGCTGTTGAGGCCTTGGACAAAGCCTTAGAGAGAGTTCGGAAAGCCAGGAGAAGTGCAAGGTAACCCTCTAGTTTCTTTTAAAGCTCACTCAATTAACCGCTACCTGTACTGAACGCTGAAACGTGAAACAAACGGACTGTTTGAGTGCTGCATGTGTTTTGATCTTGTGTGCATTTCAGCTTCCAACCATTCAAGACACTTAAGTTAGTAAGAGTGTTTTCTCCTGGTTTCTCAAACCTAGCATAAGCCCTGTCGTCCCAAAGGGGAAGAGACAAGTTTGCTCTAAGAGCGAAGACATTGCATGAAGAGTGCACTGAGCGGAAAAGAAATCTGCAAGAAGCCTTCACTCTAAGGAGTCTAAGGAATAATCTTAGCCGAAGTGGCCAAAGAAAGTTTGCAGAAAACTGCCAAGTCGAGACTAAGTGTCTCCAGAACTGTTTGCCGAAAGCGGTACAGGCTCAAAGGAGCAATGTTAAAACAAGAACAAAGTTTTCATTCATGGGCTCAAAGGAGCGTAACAAGACAATACAAACGATAGTGCGAGCCTCAGATTCTGACACTTTTGACTGGCGTTGTAGAGTGTTCTTTTGCTAGAAGTTTTCAGGCAAATCTACAATTTATTTCTAGTCTTACGAAATCGAAGCATGGCAACTGTCGTTGACAGCACTGCTCATTTTGATGCACGGCTGTTGGAGAGTGGAATCACGCAGACAGTGCTGGACTCAATAAAAGCTAGTGGAGTGGACACTCTCAGTCGATTAGCGTTTGCGGTAGGCCAACCAAATCAACCATTGGCCAATGACGACATCACAGGATTCTTGCAGACTGCGTTGGGAAGGGTCCCATCGTTATTGGAGACCTCCACGGTCAAGAGGCTAGCGTTCGAAGCTCAGACCTTCCTGGTGGCGTCCCTACGCCAAAGCATTGAGCAGACAGACGATTCAGTTCCCCCGAAAATAGCTTTTGCAGAAAGAGCTTCGAGAATGCAGGCAATAAAGACGGCATTGTTAGGTGTGGATATCTCAGGTGAGCTTGAGCCATCGCATTTGCTTCTGGACAAGGCTTGTGCCATGTACGACAAGAACGTCGTGGTGTACTTGGAGCCGAGCACATGTGTCAGCAGGACTTTGGAAGTCCAGGGCACAAAGCAGAGCCGTGAGTTGAGTTTGGAAAAGGGATCTTTGGTCCTTAGAAATCAAGACCAGTTGACAAGTGCTACAGATAGTGAGATCAAGCTTCGCAATGCCCTTGTCCGCCGTGGCATTGCCTTTCAGTTTGCAAAGTTGATGTCGCATGCTCAACACACGGAATGGGCAACATTCTTGTTTGAGGCCCTGCACCGAGATGCACCGCCTGGTTATAGCCGACCGAGCGTGGCGCAACTACTACAATGTGATAGAGCTGCTTGGGCAAGACTAGGCAGTACGGTGAGCAGCATTAGGCAGGACCAGCTTGGAGGTTACTCGTTAGGAGACGCTCTGTTGGCGTTGAGATCAGATCCATACATTACGTTGTATTTGGCGCCTTTAGCAAGGCATGGGTTGACGCAGAGTGATTCCGGGCGTCGCAGCACTGGGCCCTATGAGTCATCATGGCAGGATCGCAGTTCAAAGGGAAAGGGCAAGGGCAAGAAGGGTTCAGGAAAGGGGTGGAAAGAGCAATCCACCTATGCCGCGTGATCTTCATGGAAAATGGCACAAGACGCCAAAAGGAGACCCGATTTGCTTTGGGTACAATACGACGCAGGTCTGCCCCGAGAAGAACGTGAAGGCTGGTGACAAGTGTCGAAGGGGGCTTCATGTATGCGCTGAGCCAAAATGCCAACAAGCTCACCCGCTGCATGAACATGGACGGTGAATTAGGATGACGCTCATCCCTCGTGCCTGGCAAGGCATGCACGTGGGACAGTTGTGGACGCTGGAGTTGTTTGCAGGCTCAGCAGTGCTTTGTTCGGTTGCTAAGCAACAAGGACTCTACAACAGCATTGCAGTTGACAAGACACAAAAACATGGTTGTTTTTCGAGCATCATTAGGCTGGATTTGACGCGTGAAGCTGACAGTTCGCTTGTTGATGATTGGCTTGATTCGGGGCTACTCGTTTGGGTGCATCTAGCACCTGTGTGCGGTACTGCGAGCCGTGCACGGGACATCCAGGTGTCAGCAAATGATCCACCTCCCCTGCGCAGTAATGAACATCCGAACGGTTTCCCGGACTTGACCGGACGTGATTTGCTCAGGGTCACCATAGCAAACCAGTTGTTTTCATTTGCATGTCGCATCTTCGCTGAGGCCACGAAAAGTGGAATTTTGGCAACGATGGAGAACCCAAAGAATTCATATTTTTGGTGCGCAACATATTTTTTGCAATTGTGGAAGACTGTCGAACTTTATCGCGCTGATTTTCAGGTGTGCATGTATGGTGGTTCAAGAGACAAGTGGACAAGATTCATTGCAAACTTCCCTGAAGTGACCGAATTGTCGATCGAGTGTGACAGGAAGCACTCTCACGCACCTTGGAGGTTTGCTCACGATCATGAGGGCAAACGAGTGTGGGCAACCAGCTTGGAGAGCCAGTACACTCGTCCTTTGTGTCTGGCTACGGTTCAAGTCATTTTGCAGAAAACTGCTTCCCAAGGACTGCAATTGTTGCCCCAGATGTTGAATGACATCCGCAAGCATCCGTTGTTGCACGCACAGCAGGCTCAAATAAATGTTGGTCTGCAGCCATTTAGAAAGAAAATCCCACCATTGGTTCCTGATTTTGATACAGTGGTCGTAGCAGTCCTTCAGGATAAGTCACAAGTCCCTGTCCCTGTCCTTGGCAAGGTTCAAACTGAACTGCACCTCGTGTCCATTGAGCTTCAACCTCTACTCATCCCCAAATATGCACGTTTGCTTCGCCTTTTTGCTGCCTCCGATTCTTTGAAAGGGGGGCTGGAGGAATCTGAGACAGCTGGCAAATCCGAGACTGGTGCTGACCTTAGTTCCTACCCTTTTGGAGCTGTTTTTGGCTTGTCTTGGGAGCCGGAAAAGTTCATCCAAAAGGCTGTGGCAGCTGGTCATCCGGCCTTGACCGCCATGAGCATTCCGGAAGATCTTCAAATTGCCATCGACAGAAACCTGGCTTGGAACGATGAGCAGATGTCCAAATATAGGTCAGACTGGACAAAGCACTGGTTGAAGAGGGCAAAAGAACTTGATGCTGCAGAAAGCCTGGACAGGGCGTCCAGGCCTGAACATGTTAGGTTGAGAGTTGTTGCATTTTTGAACAACAGTTCAAACCCTGCTTGATGACCCTCGATCAATTGGAAGGTGGAGCAAAGCGCCGAAATCAGGCCATACTTGCCATGACTTGTAGCTGCGGTGATGAAGCTTTGGACAGACAGGTATTGGCTGAGACTAGGGCTGAGCTTGAAAAACAATGGGCTAGAGGACCTTTTGAACTGGATGCCCTGCCGGAAGGGGCAGTCATTTCTCGCAGGTTCCCGCTTGTGCAATCAAACAAAGTCCGAATGATCGACGATTTCTCCATCAGTGGCATCAATGACTCGTGCACGATTCATTCCAAGATTGACTTGCACATGATCGATATGCTGGGAGCGGTCATTCGAAGATATTTCCAAGCTTGTAGTGCAAAGGAGCGCGACAGCCGGCTTCTGGCAAAGACCTTCGACCTCAAGAGTGCCTACAGACAGGTGCCCATACGGAGCCAGCACCTAAAGTATGCCTTTTTCAGCATCTACAACTGCGAAGAAGGGAAACCCGAGATCTACCAGCTGCTAACCCTGCCTTTCGGGGCCACGCACTCGGTTTATTCCTTCCTTCGACTGGCAAGACTCATTCACAGTATTGCTGCCAGAGGTTTGTATGTACTCAACACGAACTTCTACGATGACTTCGTGCTGTTATCAAAACCTGAGAGTTGCAAGTCAGCAAACTTAGCTATGGAGGTTTTGTTCTTGCTGACCGGTTGGGAATTTGCTGGTGATGGAAAGAAGGCAACACTCTTCGAAACCACCTGCAAGGCACTTGGAGTGGAATTTAATTTAAGCAGATCGGAGCAAAGGATTGTTCAAATCTACAACACCAGAGGAATTTTGACGAAAGCACCAAACACGCTCTTCTGGCCATGAAGACTAGGCTCGAAGCTGGGCGCCCCGTTCAGATCTCAGACCAGGATCTCCTGCAGTGGTTCATCTACACTGATGCTGCATACAACATGGAAGAACAAACTGGTGGTATAGGTGGAGTCCTGGTTGACCAATCTGGAGTATGTGTACAATGGTTTGGTTTTCCCCTCAATGAAGAAATGTGCAAGACGTTTGGTTGCCAAACAAAACAGTCCATTATTTATGAGCTTGAATTGGTAGCTGCAGTACATGCCCTTTCTTACTGGGGCGACCATCTGGCTGGAAACCTGGCCACATGGTTCGGAGACAATGACAGTGTGAGATATGCCTTGATCAGAGGAGCTGCCATCGGGCCTTGCGGTGAGGTGATCATGAGGTTTCATCTTGAGAAGGAAGCAAGCCTGCACTCCCGTGCATGGTTTGCTCGAGTCCCGACAGAAGCAAACATTGCTGACTTCCCTTCAAGGCTTTCTCAACACCCGCTCCTTGTTCCAAAAGCAGATGTTACCGACAGTGCACGCCATAGTTTTCAGAGCTTGATTTCGACAGTCGATTCGAACAGTGGAATACACGTTGTTGATGGGGGAGATAAGGAACGTGCATCCCCCAGTTCGAAAAAGAAGCGCTGGTTGGCTTAGTGGTTTGCAAGACACCAAACGGAGAGAGACGACTAAGCTCTTCGAAGAAGATCGTGTTGCCTCCACTTCGTTTTAGAAACGAGATGATTCGGGTGTCTTGAAAGAATTTTTTTTCCTTCGTAACATTTTACTTCAAGGGAGGGTGTGGCGGGCTCCGCTGACCAAATGGTCAAAGCTCTGAACAGCCCACCCGCCCACACCAACCTTTCAAGAAGAATGCAAGCGAACTTTGTTTCAGGCCAAACCCAGGCCTGATAAGGAACGTGCATCCCCCAGTTCGAAAAAGAAGCGCTTGTTGGCTTAGTGGTTTGCAAGACACCAAACGGAGAGAGACTTTTATTTCCACACGCGCATGCAACAAATTGTGTGGCCGCTTCGTATTTTGCATACATTCATGGCGTTGGGTGTGAGAAACCATTGCGGAAAGTACTGAATGCAAATGCCAAGATCAATAATGGATTGTTTTGTATAGTCAAATGATAACTAGCACATTTATCATTTGAGATTGCAAAGAGATCAAAAACACCAAAACACAGTCCACTGTGTTGGCAGGCATTTCGCACAGTCGCGAAGCATCGCAACGATGCTCAAGATACATGCAAAAGGAACGTGGAGGGAACAACAAAATAGTCTATTTTGAGTAGGCAGCAATTCTTTGGGAAACAAATCTAGCAAACAAGGAACCGCGGTCTCCGTCCAAGTTTGGGTCTTGTTGAACTTTGGTTGCTTCATAGTTATGGCGGCCTCCAGCAGCGGTTGTGACCTCACAGTGCTGTGTGTGTGTGTGACAGTTGACGTGCCTTTGATACATGTTGAAAAGCATTGGTATTGGTGCTGTAAATCAGATTTGTTTGAGGTTTGGACCATGGTGTAGATCCTGAAATCCCGGAGGCATGGTGAATAAAGTGAATCACGGTTGATCGTTGATCCTTCGTTTGGCCTATGGAACTTTGAAAGGTTTCTGGAGACCGCTACTTGAACGTGCTTGATCAGGCCTCCAAAGCACTGTGAAACCTGACCATGCAATCATGTAACAAACATTCTGACATGTTTAAGGATGAGGTGCAAGCATTTTGGCGTGAAGCTGGTGTCCGTGGAGGGACTGCCCCGATTACAAGCAACAATGTGAAGACGAACTTCGAACGGTCACATGCATCGCTTGTGAGCTGAATTTCAGCAGGAGTGGCGACCCATGTTTTAACGTTGACTGGGCTGCTGCAGGGAAGGCTTGGAGTAGCATATTTACTTGCACATGGCAGTTCAACAAACCATGAAGCTCCATTCAACATGCCAACAGAAGTGGTAAAACTTATATACACCCAACCAAACCCATCATCCAGAGATTCTGGTACTTTCTGTGCAACAGCACTTTGGATTGCGAGGAAGTCGTGGATCACCCAAGAGTCAAAGAACTTTGCCAAGCTCAAGCAGCAAGAGGCAGGAACGTGGATACAGTGCTAGTGGAAATGGTTGTTGTAAAGTATGCGTTTTGTCTATCGCACTTTTGCAAGTTGTGGGACCAAAGTGAAGGCGGACAGCGGGCAGCAGCAGCGATGCGGCAGCGTGCAGCAGCTTTGGCAAATGAACTGGCAGCTTCAGTTGAAACGAGGCAGTTCTTCTTCCTTGCTCTTGACCGAAGTTTTTGACAGCTTCATTACAAGTTGATTGAGCGCACACGCGCTTTGGGACGGATATGCTCTAGTGATGGCTCCCTGCAAGGGTTGCACACTTCACCTCTGCATTGGCCCGATTCATGTTTGAGCGACTGTACTCCGGGGCTGGGCCCCCAGAAAGGACATTGTGAAGATGAAACTGTGAATTTCTCTCTCTCTATCTCTCTCTCTCTCTCTTTTTCTTTTTCTCCCGGTATATATATATATAACTATATACATAGACGTTGCCAAGTTGATCTTCGAGCGAGAGCAGCTGACTGCACTTGCGCATTTGAGTATGCGAGCTCAACAAGAAGGTCGTAGCATAGTATATTTGCCCAGCGCCTTGACTTACTTAGCTGAGGGCAATCAAGCCACTGCCTTTCAACTGCACAGATTTATGTTGTGTTGTGGGGTGTCAGCCAGAAGCTTTGGTCCTTGAGGTTTCTTTTACTGTAGATTCTTTGGTATGGCATTTTTCACTCGCAATTGCATGCTTTCAAACTCTTACATGCGCTGCGGCGGCAGGTCATAAGAGCCACATTGACTACCTCGTTTTACAGCCTCCTACCTTGTAAATGAAGGAGGAACATGTCAGGACAGACTGCTTTGATTTCTTAGAGTTCATTTTGAGTTATATATATATATATCTCTCTCTCTAAAGAACACAAGACGCTTGGAAGAATGATTGCAAAGCTGTACGTTGAGCTCGTGAATATCACTACTGAGGTTTTCACTTTGGAATTTGGGATTGGGTGCGCCTGCCATTGCAGCTGGCGAAAATCTGAATCTTCCAGTCGTTGGCTCGCCCCTCGTATGAGCTACAAGCACACGTAGGAAAAACATCCACAATTCACAATTCTGTGTCATCTGTGTGTTTTTTCTGTGCGAGCTTATTTAAGTCTTTCTTCAGCTTCAATCTCCAAGCGGGGCAAACCAAGGCTGCTACGCGCAGAGCTGAGCTTTTCCGACGCGAGCAAGATTAGGGAATCTTCTCAATATGCCCAAGTTTCCCTAAACATCTAGGAACCAAATCATTCGCGTGAGCTCTTCTTCAAGGAAGCTTCCCCCGCCCTCAGGCAAGGTGAGCTTCCTTGAAGAAGCGTGAGCTGTCCTGCGTTCTACCTAGAAGCTTAAATAGCTAGGAGCGAACTTCTTCCTTGCTCAATTGAGTAAGCAGTCTCTATTTAATCAAGCGAGGAGGCAGGGCCACGGGCTAAATAAATGAACCATTTGACACCCATGAGGCTGAAACACACTCTCAGCTCTGTGCTCAGGTCGGAACGGAGCTTTCTACATCCGCAGGAAAGCATGCTCGAGTGAAGACTCGAGATGTGGCAAAGTGATACACATAGCTGGCATGGAGTCATGTGTTTTCTGTAGTTGTTTTCTTTTTTGTTTGTTTGGAAGTTTCCACATTACCCACATTGTCGGCCTGGAGGAGCTTCAGTGGTGAAGACAGCGAGTTGTACACCACGGTGGTGGCTGCGTGCGCGTTTGTCGAATTGTTTCACCGATGTACAGCTGCCCTCAAGTACAAGGTAACCTGGGCAAGTATGCTAAGAGTAAGTAAACAAACATATAAATGGTCAGGTGCTTGCAAGCAAAACCGTCATAGGGGGTCTTTGTGTTTTCTAGGGCTGAGGAAGATAGACTCTTGACTAGGGATGTCGCCCAACACTTCGTTGAATGCAAGTGGGCACTCTGACCGCATAAGCGCTCCAAGTCTTGGGTTGTATTTTGTCTTACAGAATGCTTAGATATAGTATAGGATAAATAGGAAGAAAGGATTGAATTTCCGTTGCATACTGGAAGACAAACTTGAAACAAGCTGCTCCCTGCCCATGTAGCTGACAAGCTTTTCCCACACTTGAGGTACTTGGAGGGCTTGCTTTGTCGAGGAGCCAATGTCAAGTTCTTTTCAGAGGGTGGCCGCAGCCGCAGCGGCAAACTGTTCCTCCACCACATTCAGCAACCCCAAGCTGGGCAGGTAGAAGCATATTTCTGCTGAGGCTACAACCCAAGATTGGCTTGCTGGGAATGGTGGTAGATCCAATCCTTCGTGGCATCGTTGAGGATGCCTACATCGTGCCAGTTTCTATCTACTATGATGGAGAGCTTTGCTTGCAAGATTTGCAGCTGTCGCGACTGCATTACAACTGACAAGTTGATTTGGAATGCCCACAAGCCAGCGGCCCACAAAGATCCGCCGTTCACTTGTGACGAAGATTTGCAGATCACTTGCGACGAAACCGATCATCACTTTTGTGCCGATCAATTGCGACGAAAACAAGCATCACCAGCACCAGGGTGGTCTGTGGGAGGGATGTGGCGGGTGGGGCAGGGGCAGTATTAACAAGGAAAGCATATTTTACACACTCTTACATCCTGGGGGGTGGTGGATGGGGCCATCAGCACGACACTCAAGCACAAACAAACAAACAAACAAACAAACAAACAAAAAAACAAACAAACAAGGTCACGCCCGCTGCAACGACCCCGCGCGATTTGAGCGTTCTCACATGCATCTTCCAGTCGTTTTTCACAACCCCTCTGGCACTTTATGGCGATGCCTCCTTTAGGTCAATGTCAGTTTGTATGTGTTTTTACACTACAAAACGCCTCTCAAATCGTAACTCCATTGTGAAATGACAGTTTGTTCAGGGACCCGGAAGTTTAAAAAACCAAAGAACTACTATGGATCTTCTCAGTCCGTCAAAATCATGCACACTAGTCATGATAGCTTGTACAGACTCTAGCCCCACATCATACGTGATGTTCTGCCTCAAGGCTGAACATTGCCCAGACATCACTTCATGCAAGTGATCCAAGTACTGCACATCATATTGAAGCCATGATGACAACACAGGAGGCAACGACTGGCGTGTCAGACGCAAGAGAATCAAGAAAGTCAAGGCGAGTACAGCTTCCTCCATCTTGAGAACTAAAAAACCGTGGCTTCAAACACTATTGGGTGCAAGCGCTTCAAAACAAGGTTTGGATAGGCCATCAACTGCGTGGAACATAACGGGGTGCATTCATTCCTTAAATGCTATCAACTTATCAGGGTTCAGACCTTGCTTAACCACCACTGGGAATATCAACTTGGTTTGCTAGTGCAAGCGATCGTTAACACACCCCATCCCCAACATAGTATCAACTTGGTAGCAGCAACTTGGTTTGCAAGTGCAAGCGAAGCAGACCCCACCCCATCCCCACCCCACCCCATCCCCAACCGTAGTATCAACTTGGTTTGCAAGTGCAAGCGAACGTTAACAGACCCCACCCCATCCCCACCCCACCCCATTCCCAACGTAGTATCAACTTGGTTGATGGTGAAAACGTTGAAATTCTCCGGGGTCGTTAGGGGGGGCGTGAGCACAAACAAACAAACAAACAAACAAACAAACAACCCATACACTCACATGCATCCTGCAGGGTGGGGGGTGGGGCCATCAGCATTCACTTAAGCATGAACAAATATCTTACACACTCTTACATGCTGGGGGATTGGGGGTCATTGGAGTCCCTGATGCAAACCCTGTTCTTGGATCTATTCTTCGTTGGTTATTTAGATTCTTTTTTAGTTAGTGAGTTACTTGGTTAGTTAGTTAGTTGGTTGGTTAGTTAGTTAGTTAGTTGGTTAGTATTGGTTAGCTAGTTAGTTAGTTGGTTAGGTAGTTAGTGAGCGTCACAAGCGACGAGCAAATTAGCGTCACAAGCGAGCGCCTCACCGCCTACAAAGGTGATGGAAACTGAGAGCTATGTGAGGGAACTCTTGGGAAGTGCCAAGAGGAAGGCCATCAGTTTCCTGACAAAAACGAAAGCACAACGCAGCAAGTATGCAACATCGGAATGGAACGCTCCTGTGTTCAGCTTTGGCATCCCGACAGGAAAGCCTTATAGGGGTGCTGGGACAAGGAAAACACTTATTAGCAATGCCCCGCTCACGTTATGGATCCTTGGCGCATCTAGAATCAAAGCTATTATACTTCCAAAATAGCTGCTTTGTACTCTTAACTACTTTGGATCCTAGGTAATATTCATGTCCGATTTGCACCTGGATTCAGTGCCAGAAGCTTCTTGGTGGTATATACTGGTTTTGTTTGACTGCAAGAGTAGTAGCAGTGTAGCAGCATTGAGTGGTCTTTGTTGGTTCTTTGGGATCGCCAGGCTACATTGAGAACTACACTGCGTTGCAGCGGCAATCCTCTGTTCACAGGGCGAACTTTGACCCTCAAAGCTCTGCAAGCGAGAAGGGAATCCTTTTAAAGGCATTGTGAGTTTGCTGTGTCTATGATTCTTTCTTTCGCGTTTCATCACAGCTGACTTGCAACTTGAAAGCGATACATTTTCAGGCGCTTGCTTACCACGTTTTGGAGGAGATCAACCGTGTTTCAAGTGTGACCCCTACTGCATTGGCCGTGCCCTAAATTTCTTGACACTTTTCGCTTTCCTTTCTTCAAGAGATTCCCTTGTTTTAACAAAAACCATGCCCAGGGCGGGAGACCTGGATCCGGATGGTTTTGCAGCATCAATTGCAGGTTTGCTTGTTGCTTGTTGGTGAATTGAAATAGCACTTAAAAGCGGGCACCTGGAGTTCCAGGTGCCGAGCTTCCACACCATGCCGTAAATTTGAGGGCTGTTCTCGTACTTCTCCCGATGCGCGGCCAACCTCTTCCATGACTCAAGACATATTCCATTGTGGACTGCAATCGGCAGAGCGCTGGATGTCCACAAGGACTAAGACTTCTTAGGGCCTTTTCTCCTGTGATAATACCTTGGCAAGGCTGCCCTCAATGATCACCTCACCACAGCATTGCTTCACCTCCTTCAACTCGCCTGCACGAGCTTGCTCTAGGAATCTCCATGCCATCATGCCAGAAAACTGTCTTGATTGAGTTTAAGCTCTGTCGTAAGAAAAACAAACAAAAATATATCAGCTACACCGTTTGCTCAGTTTCAGCAAACCGACAAAGCTCCTTTGCAAGCAGCTGTGGAAAGCCCATGCACAGCAAACAAACGGCTTCATGCGAGCCCACCACCACAGCTCGTTTGATCTTGCTGCAATGAAATTCATCGCCCATGAAGGCTTCTTATCGCATCTTGCTTGCGAATGCAAATCTCAATTGACTCGTTCAGATCGGAGGCCTTGCGCTTGCGACCCTTTTGTCCATCCTCAAGTCAACACTTTTGTTCGGCCTGACCTTGACTTTCTTAATCTATTGTGTATCATTCTCATTCTTTAGCCGCCTCGCGCCTGATGTCATTCCTGCACACTCTTTTGCTTTCTCTTGTCCTTTTTTTGCGATCTCCCTTCACGTTTTGCCATCCTCTACATCATACCTCACTTCTTCCTTTCTCAGCCGCGCCAGCCTTCTATTCCAATCCTGTCCTTTGTTGGCCTCCGGCTAGCTACTATCGGTATTTCATGGCTTGAAATGTGTCAAGTTGCAAGGTGGTGCATATGGAAGTTTATCGGATGGACCATTTGTGGCTCAAGGGAGCTTCAGCGAAACAGCACGCCAAGTAGCTATCAAGACTTCCTGAAGACCCGATCGATGACCGTGCCTCAAGCTGAAGACAATTGCCATGAAGCCTGAATGCACAAAGACATGGGCGAGGAGGAAAACGGGGACACATCATCAAACTATTCTCACCTTTCTGCAGAACCGAGGATGGCAAGTCTTTTGACTTGGAAGTTGCTTTCACAGATTTTTTGGCCGATGAGACACGGGCTGAGCTTGCCCTGCCTGCTATGACAGTTGAGCAGCGCAAAGAAGCCAAGAGGCGCGGTTGTCACACTTTATGGCCATTTCAAAGTTGGCAACAAGGACTGCAAGGACCATTTCGCAAAGATTCCTGTACCAGCAGAGTCCAATGTCGACTGGTGACTCGTAAATATGTTCAAGAAAGCCAGCAGCTGATCAACATGAAACATAAGAACCCTCCAGATGAAACGAACCATCCACAACAGCCCCAGCCAGATTTCCGACATTGTACTGATGTTCACCGCTCGCCTGAAAACTTTAGGATCCCACAAAAAAGAACCTATATAGTGAAGATTTCGTCGGCACCAGTGGAATTTTAGTGATTTGTGCTCCAAATTAAGAGTTTTTCTCACTGTAATAGTTTGTGCTTGTTGGGAGTAGAACCCAGACAGTTTCCCACTATGCTGTGCATTGCCTTTGAGCCTCGTGGCTTGAGCTCCTGCGCTTCAATAGTGACTCTACCCAGCATTCCTTGTAGCTCTGATGAAGTTAAGGGGCTTTTTAGAACTGAATCAAGGGTGTACAGTATTGTATTGAACTTCTCTTTCTATCATGATTCCGCTGCATCGGGTCCGGACGTCCCCCCCTCTCTCCCTCTCCCCCTCCCCCTCTCTCTCATTTTTCGCTTGCTCTCGCTTGCTTGTTGCATTCCACAAACAATGTTCGAATCACAAGTCTGAACAGTTGTCACCTCTCATGATTAAACAATTCCAATCGCCACTGGAAGACCTCATGCGTTCCTGATGCAAAGATGCTGGATACAAACATTGACAAATCCAACAATATCTTCACTGAACTTCTCAATGTGCCGATGCCAAATGGGCTGCGGCACCACCCATGTTCTTTTTTGATTGATAGGTAAAGCATTGGCACGTGATCCTGAATTCATAGAATGTTGGAGCAATGGAGAAAAAAGAAAGAAACTGCACTTGCGTGCAAAAGCATGCTTGATCTGGCTTTGAGGGGTGGTGGAGATTCATATCTGACATCACCAAGCTTTGTTTGTGTCCTCATGATGATCGGTCCACTCGGTCAGGTTGGCAGAGCAGTACCCCGTGCCTTGCCCATGACATCAGTCCTCTTGAAGGGAATGAAACACCCAATGGACCAAGGATATCAAGTGTGAGAGCTTTGGCTTTGGCGAAGAGCGCCGGCTTCATCTCTTCAAGATTCAAGGTGGAACTGCCCCAGGTGGGAAAGAGACACCTATGCTGTGATGTGACACATCGCTCGGGTGCCACAACCATCATTTCGGGTGAATTGGCAGGCTTGACACGGACTGGCTCCGAAAAATCCACGAGTGCTTCTGAAGTTGATACGCCTAGCCCAGCAAACACCTCCAACGAGGCCTGTCAAAGCGCAAGTTCTGGGTTTTGGCAAGTGTTTTTAATGCAGACTGCAGGGTTTTCACCCCTCTTTGGTTCAAACATTTCTCCTTCTGCCAGGTTCACTTTGGATCAGTGCTGTCTGAGTTGGTCCAAGTCCGGAATACATTCATCCATGTAGAAGAAGAGGTCTCCGTGGACCAGCGCAACTTGGCGATGCAGGCATTTGTACGATGTTTTCTTTCAACCTTTAGTCGAAACATGCTTGGGTTGTGGAAAGTAATCATTTCTAAGGTCAGGTGCAGTCCATGCCCCACGGCATGTTTGGAAAATGCTGGCAGGAGCAGATTGAGCTAGGCCTAGGAGTAGAAAATCCAGACGACTGGAGTTTTCTTTTTTTTCAGATTCCCAAGCGTTTGACGTTTAAAGGTTTGATTCATTTGTTGAACCTTTGATGTAGGCATTGCAAAGAAGGAAGACGATCGTGGCAGTGACGCAGGCGCACAAGTGGGTCGTGAGCCAATACTGGAATGGCTGAGAGTCATGCAATGTATATAAGGAACCACAAAGACAGAAGACGCAGCGGATGCTCGAGACGCTCCTGTCTTCTCTGACAGAGTTGCCGTGCCTCCTCCTGTGAAAGAAGCACCACGAGGCACGAGAAAGGTTTGGCTTGGCTGCGAGCTCCTCGGTAAGTTGCAGGAATCTTTGCGCCTGGATCAGATGTCTTTGTTGAAGGGCTTACGAAATGCCCCGCAGCTTGGCTGTACTCAGAAGTGCTGAGAGAGAGAGAGGGAGAGAGATAAGAAAGAAAAGGAAAGAGAGATAGATAGAGATTTGAATGGAAGCGCCCTTTGAATGGTCAAGCTCAGGCCTTCAACGGACTGCCTGGCAAGGTTCAGTCGTTGGACAAGGACACCGGACGCTATGATGTTTTGTTGATCTCAAATTCTGGGTACCAGCTGGCCAAGATCAAGGGTGCCTTGGAATGCAGCTCCCTTGCTTGTCAGATCAATTGTGTTATTTGGAAATTGTATTTGACTTGGACGATAAGGACACCTTAAGTACATCACTTGTACGGCATTGGAGATAAATATATATGGTACCCCCCAAAAAAACCTACAGTACCCAAACTCACATTTCACTGATATTTACAGTAAAAAATGCATATATTGGGCACCATTTTTTCTGAGTAAAAAATAAAGGTTGTGAATATACATTAAACATATATTTTACATAAATTTCGCATACTCAGCCCCCACCGCAGCCTTAACCTGAGGAGATGAAGATGAATCATATGAATAGCATATTAAACCAAATGAAATAATATATAAAATAGTCTCCATACGCAATAAAGTAGGCTCACTGCGTACATTTACTAATCACAGACTGCCAAAACCAAAAAACCAAAAATCCACAACTCTGAGGAGAATCTTTGGTTTCAGCCTGAAATATATATTTTTTTGGTTTTCATTGAGTATTTTGTTTCTTTTTGGTTTCATTCATCAAAAAAACAATAAACACAAGGTTTTTTTGGGTGTTTGCTTTGGTCTATACAATCACCAATGCCCAAAACAAAAAAACATAAGTCTTCAGTCTTCTTTTGTTTTTTCAATAAACATATGCAAAAAACAAACAAAAACCTTGTGTTTTCTTGTTTTTTTGTGATTCCAGGTTGCATAGACCAAAGCAAACACCAACAAAAACCTTGTGTTTTTTTTGTTTTTTGATGAATGAAACCAAAAAAACAAAAAACTCAATGAAAACCAAAAAAACAATCTTTCAGGCTGAAACCAAAGATTCTCCTCAGAGTTTTGTTTTTGTTTTTTGGTTTTGATGTTGTTTTGGGTTTGGCTCTAAGTTCGACTTACTATCACCGCAGCGTCTTTTTTCCAACACAGAGTTTTCTTTTTTGTTTTCTGCGCGCGATGGTCCTAAAATCCTAAAATCCAAAGATTTCAGCACTAGTCCAAACCTTGACTTCATTGTTGTACTTCATAAGTTTTTGTGCTCCATTTGCTGGTGTATTCTTTTCTGTCAGTATAATTGCCTCTATTCTTTTGGTATATCTTAACATCATCACCTACATTGATGTTTGGATATTTTCTGGTGTTCTTTTCCTTGATTGTCAAATTCACTATTACATTTACTGTATTATCATCCTTGTGTGCCTGTTTTGGTGTCATTCCTGTTGATGAGTGCTTTGTGTTGTTGTATTTGTTCAAAGCTGGTATCAACATATCTGTCCAATTTGCCTTGTTAAACCTAACACGGTCATGTATCATATTCTTCATGATTCTAATAAATCTCTCGGCAACATTTGCATGAGTTGATGTTATGATATGTTGTATGCCTTCATTCTTAAAAAACTCTTTTACTACTGATTCAAAAGCACCATCATTGTCACTATAAATAGATATTGGAGAACCCATTTTCTTAAATGATTGTTTCAAAGCATCTAAAACACTTTCTGAATTGTTTTTCTTCATAGGCACTACATTAGCCAGCTTACTAAATATGTCAATAACAACCAATGCGTATTTTGGTTGTTTTTTGGTTGGTTCTATTTTGACCTCTGGATTTTTTACAAGTGGAGCCATGACCAATATATCAATTTGATACTCAAATCTTGCAAGAGGTGCTGTGTATGAGTTTCAACACCCTTCCTCAACATCATAATATACATTGCTTATAATCTGTTCTTTTGTCAATGGCATTATAATAGAATCAGATAATATTTTTTTTACCCTAAACATATACTTAAAGAAATTGTTATATATATATTTTTAAGTGAAATGACTTCTATGAATTGTGGGTGTAAAATCATATGTGATAGGATCACAATTGAAAAAGAATCACGTGATGAACGAGGAATTCTTATTAGTAGATTTAACGTTTTCCATCAATATCAACAAAATGTTGATGTGTGTCGTTTGTGTAGTAGGAAAGGCAAACTGTTTAATAAGATTGAACAAGAGAAACTGAAACTGGCAAAGGAACAGTTTAAAATAATTACCGAAGAAAATGATGAAGAACCAGAACCTGATAGTGAGAGTGATAATTAATTCATAATATCTTAACAAAACATATTTTGAACTAACAAGCCCTAAAATAGATATAAAGAAATAGCCCTATAATGTATTAAGCTGATGAGTGATAATATGAAACAATTGTTCAAAATGTAAAAAGGCAAAAAACAATAGAAAACTTTGATGGAGGAAGGGCATTATGTATTAAATGTCTTGAAGAGAAAAATAAATATAGAAAAAATCACAGAGAGGAATTAAGACAAAAAGCAAAAGAGATTTATGAAAAGAACAAAAAACACATACTTGCCACATGTAAAGAATATAAAAAAGAGATACAATTCTTGAAAAGAAAAGACAGTATCGTGAAGACCACAAAGAAGAAATCAAAGATAAAAAGAAACAATACTATGAACAGAACAGGGAACAAATGCAAGAGAACAATAAACAATACAACAGTTTAAAAAGTGAATGCCCTGTTTGTAAATGTTTAGTTGGTAAATATACAATTAAAAGACATGAAGAGAGTCAACACACATTAACTAAAACTGAAAGGTCAAGAACAAACAAAACAACACAAGACTTTCTTGAAAACTTCCCAATCAAGTGGTGCAAGGTAGGTTTTAGGGGGGGCTAGCATATATATATATATTTCCCCACAAATTTTCGATTGTTAGTGATTCAGTGCTCAAAGTAGACTGGACTAGTGTGCACACTGTAGCATATCAAAAACTGGCAGTACTGGTATACCAATACTTCTTTTTGGCAAAGTAGTACCCTGTATCGTCTTCCCTCCAGATTTGTGCTTTCAGGAAACTGATATTGGTTATGAAAACAAGACTAATAGCTCTCATAGACCCGAAACTAAGGCGCCCTTGCCTCATGTCGAACAAATGCATCAAGAACAGTTTCAATAGTAGGGCTCAACAAGCAAAGGATTGAAGCAAAGGAGTCGGTACGCACCACATACCCTACACCGGAGGCTTGCCACCTTGTCGCAGCCCATCCCAAATCACCACTTTTCACAGACGGTAAACTGAGGTGAAAATCTCCGCATCGCAGTGCCACCCCCGCCAGCACAACGCCCAGAAGATTTCCATCGAATGTCTCCAATGCCACATCCTGCGGCTCCTTGCTTTATACGCTGTGCTTTTACACACATGCATTATTTCTGAAGCACATTTGAAAGGCTGAAGACCTGTTGCGTTTGCAGGAAGTGCCAGTGCCTATGAACATGTCTCTTGTCTGAGTAAGAGGAATGGTCCTTGGTCTCAAATGAGCACCTTCGATTGCATGATTGTACTGCTTGTCAATATTGCTTCAGGGGTGGTGGTATGCAGATGCCTGGCCAGCCTTGCTGGTACGAGCAGCATTTGCAGCCCTTCTATGCCACTTGCTTGAGCAAGCCAAGTGCTTGAAGAATCAGATCAATCGCAATCTCTTGCCAACTTGTGTTGGCAACAAGTCAGAGTATGGTGCTGCGTTTGTGAGGCCCACCATCCCGACCCCTCTCTGCTATACGCACCTGTGTGTCCTGCGCGCTGATTTGTCTGAGCCTGAAGTATTCATTGCAGAATTTTCAATCCGGCATATTCACATGAGTGGACATTGCGTTGAAGCCTTAAGGTCTTCATGCCCCGTGGCACTTCCGGAATTCAACTGGCATTGCAGTACAGCTTTGTGCTCCAGTATTGTGCGCGTGCAGTAGGAATGCCTTTGAGCATCTAGGACTGACCCCTTGATTGCTTGTTTTGTACAGGTTGGACTGAGCTTTTTCGATTAGCATGCCAGAACTCTGGAAAAATCATGTTAGAAATGCAGAAGTTCGTGATGTTGTACTTCTGGGTGACTTTGATGGCAAGGCTGATCACCCACCTGAATTAATGCCAGCTTTTGGCAACTGGCATAGAGAGTGCTTACAAAGCAAATTGCCATTTTGAATCTTGAGCAAACGCATCCTTTGAGCGGGGAGAGAGCTTCTTGGCATCATGTTGGAAGCTCTTGCTTTTTACTTTCTATCGAACGCCATCCAATGTGCTATGCTTTTCAACGGCGCACAGAGAGCATCCAGTGAGCTCTGGGATGTGTTGCCTTCTGATCTCAGATGTCGGCTTAGACCTGACTCGCCAATTGAATTCGCGCACGAAAAGGGTTGTCTCGGCCTTTGGGTATTCTGGCAAATAAAAAGCAGGACACTACAATGATTCTACAAGGTTTTTGGGAGTTTGCCGTGGGCAAAGCTGCTCTGAGGTCGGTACTGTGCTTCTTTGCACACAGGGCCGTGGAATTGGCCGAAGAGCCTTAATCAGCAAAGTTGAATGGCTTCGTGGCGAGGCTGCTCGGAGAATCCCATGAAGTTCCTTTGCACACTGCCTGAGAATCCCTTTGCCAAGCCTTTTTGCTTGCGTCATTAGCTTTTCAAAACCAAACAATCAACGTCGCACGACGCAACCTGTTTTGCTAGGTGGTGCGATCTGGAGGACACATGCAGACCTGGCTGCACAGTTGGTTTGCCAATTTGATGTCCTGTTGAGTCATTTCTTTTCTATCACCAGACGGAATACCTTTAATCAAACCACTTTGCTGCTGAAGGTTGCAGGCTAGGCTATGTTATATATATATATATATCACTTATGTTTTCGAAATGCGATGATGACTCTTGGGTCCTATTGCTTTGTCAGGTCGCGGTTTTATGACTTTCCTGGTGAACTGACAGCTGAAGTGGTTGACTCTGCTTTGGGGGTGCTGGGAAATCTTGTGCAAACATTCACAGGCGTGTGGCGTGTTGCTTTGGGTCAGGGAAGAACTCCGGTCTGCCACTGTCCAGTCTAAGACTGAGGCCTCGTAATTGATGTCCATAGGGGCTACGAGTCCACCTCCAGTTTGAGCATTTCTAAACATGTTTGAGTTTGAGTGTTTATGATTGTGATGGCATTCCTCTGCTTGCTTCTCGTACAACTGTGGCAAAATTTGTCCGCCTTTGTCTAATCGACTTCTCAACACTGCCGTGCTCAAGTGATCTTTTTGTTAGGTTTGGTGGAGCCTGTCTACTGCGTTGCACCGGGAATGAGCTTTGAGCTGTCCTACTACAGGAAGAGAAACACGCGAAGGGAAGCACTTGACACTATAGCGGTCGACACTTGAGGTTGACTATTGACGCTGACAGTCTGACAGTTGGGTGTTGTTGCATTGCAGGAACCTATGTGTGCACGTCTTCATCCACCAGGCGATCGTGACAGCAGTTCTGCATCGAGCAGTCCAGAGGTGCGAGCAACACGTGCAGCCAAGGTTTTGACTCGGCAACCCAGAGAAAAGTCTTGCCTGATATCATGTGTGATCGCTAGAAGAGTTGGACATGTAACCGACGGAAATGTCTTTGTGCGGCACTGAAATGTGGTCCTTGAGTCTCATGCATTTCTGCAGATTCATTCAGCCAGATTGTGCGAATGGTGTTTGGAGTCTAGAATGGATGCAATCTTTGGCATTATTGCAACTGCCAACATACTTGATGCTGCAACATGTGATTCCCTCATGTCCTGTTGGGAGGGAAGTCAAACAAATTGCTAAAGTCAAAAAGGTAAGGCCCCACAAGTTATACTGTAAGAAAAAGCACCACAGAACAATTGGGAGAGTTGATCAGTCAACTTGTTGTCCCTTTCCTGTCTTATTCGTGAAAGACTGATGTCCAAGTTTCTGTGAGTGCTTCTCCATAGACTGTTTCCTCAACAGCAAACACTAGACGAACATGATTTCTGTAATGGTGGACCGTAAAGGTTTCGCAAACAGACAGTGTTTGAGCGCATGCGTGCTGCTTATATTTGGTTTGATTTGTTTGCACGCCATGTATATGCTGGTATAGATGTATGCAGCACCTGTAATATGTTCCATTTTTGTTTGCCTTGTTTGGATTGAGCAACAACGGTTTCTGAAGACATATGGTCCGTGCCAGGCAGCCAAATGTTCGACGAGTTGAGCGAACCAGTATCATGTCGGACTGCTGGGCAAGAACAAAAGGGTTAAAACGCGAAGCACAGAATTCAATATTTCGAGCGCATGCAGAAAATCATCACAGAAAGACTTGGTATGAATGTGCCTGCCTGTGAACACTGTTCTGTACGACTAAGCACTCAGCTCAGCTTTTCCCGCTTCGCTTTGCAGGATGTGCGTTTTTTGAGCAGACTCCTTAAGCGCAGCTTGGCATGGTATTTCGATTGCTCTCAATGCTGACCTCAAATGAGAGAGGTCCTCACTCAGATGCAGATGAAATGACACCACTCAAGATAACCTTTAATGAAGAACAAAGTCATGCAAGTTGCAAGATTCAGGTGAATTTGTGTTCTCCGGTGCAGCTACACCAAATTCAAGCGTGCGTCCGCAAGCGGTGGCTGGAGAACAGCACTGGGGTCAGGAAAACTCAACTGTGACGTGGCTGCACTTGATAGTAGGTGATTGCTTGCTGCTCCCCTATATTTAGAAGCTAGGAAGGTTTGAGCTGCTTGCAAGGCTTTGATGCGGAATTTTGAGTCGGCTCTTGAACTTTTGGTGTCGGAGGGCGTAATAGAGTTTTGCGATGAAGGCCGGATTAACTCTGCTTGTGTTCTCTTCTTCTGGCTTTTGTTGCAAGCTTTGTGAAGAGATTCTTACGAAATGAACTACTGCGCAGGTGGTGCAATTTCTTTAGAGCAGTACTGCCAAGCCCAGGATGCCCTGGATCTCACCAAACGGAGCTTTCTTGCACAAGGTATCTAGAGAGTACAATCACGCTGGCAGAAGGCTGTTTAGTATATATACACATAAATTATGAATAAATATAGAAAAGTACTCAGTGTGAGATGTAAACTTGTACATGCCCACCCCCAATGATCTACCATTTGCTTTGTTTACAAGAGCAGAGAGACCGAGAGTCAGAGAGAGAGAGAGAGAGAGAGAGAGGGAGGAATGAGGGACAAGCAAGCTGGAAAAGGACGTGAGGCGGAAGCGAGAGTTTGCACCGCATTCTAATTGTGGGGTCCCGATCATGCAGGGTAGTGCTGAGTAAATGCATCAGGAAACAGATCAAGGTTGGTCCAAATGCTTGGCAACTTACAAAAGCTTTAACGTCTACTCATGGGAGTACCAGACAAATTGTAGAGGCAGAATTATTGCCACAAAGAGAAGAGCAGAAGCATTGCCAGCAGCACAAACAGACATTCCTCGAGAGCATGTAATGTTGAAATTCAAGGATGAAGATGCAGAAGCAGTTATTGCAAAAGCTCTGGAAGAACCAATACCGATACCAGCCCCGCTGGAGACCCCTGTGGAAGCAATGAAGAGAGGTGGAGGTGAAAGGAAGCCAAGCGGAGAAGAAACTCCAAGTAAAAGCAGAAAGTTCTCTTTGCAGATGAGAAGGCGCTTGAGAAGGTGAGGGCAGTCCCATCTACATCACTGCCAGCAGGCCAACCCAATCCAATTACTTCTTTACTGTCTTCATTGAGGGCATCATCAGCAACTTCAAGAGCAAGGGAAGAGTTTGCATTACTTGAAGAAGAAAGTCCTATGAAGAAGCTTAGGCCAGCAGATGATTCAAGCAAAAGTTTCAAGATCAACTTGGTGAAGGTTGCAGGAGAAGATCTCCATCATGTAGATGAGGAGCTACCCTCAGTTGCAGAAGAAGTTGATGAAGAAGACTGGGAGGAAGAAGGAGATGAAGAAGAAGCAGATGAAGTAAATGGACCTGAATGTTTGTGGCGTGATGGAGAACATGGACCAGAAGAAGATCCAGAAGAGTGGATAGGCAGAGTAGCTGATGAGGTTGAAGAGAAAAGACTCCAGAAGATGCAAGCGCTAGAGAGATCAGAAGGTAGCAAAGAAGGCATCAGCCACCTGACAACACGCAATATGTATGACTGGAGAAAGAAACGTTATCACCGTGAAGCTGGAACAACAAGCAAGAGGTGGAAGAGAAGACCAAGACTAATTGCAAGAGAGTGTGCTTTCGCTGAAGGAAAGAGAGATGACATTTCCCACCAGCGACTTCAGGACATGTACTGAAGCTTCTACCCACAATACTCTTACAGAGAGTTAGTGAGCAAGAGAGGGAGGAGAGGAAAAGCATTTTGCCAGATTCTAGGATGTCTTGATGTGAAAGATGCTGTTTTGCAGGTTCCAGGTTCAGCAGGAGAAGCCAATTGAAGGTGAACTTGAGAGGAGAAGAATTCTTGGTGAAGAGAAAGTACCTGGACAAAGAGTTGGGGCAAAAGCATGGTTTGGTATGTTTACCTGAACAAAGAGTTGGAGCATAAGCATGCTTTGACTTCTTTACAGAGTACCTCACCGAGGGACCCAATCACAAGTTCAGTGCTGAGTGTCCACGGCCAAGAAGAAATGAGAAGAGTATGATTGACTCGCGAGGGTGACTTGATTTTCACAGGTTGTTCAAAGTATATCAGTGAAATCTTTTTTCCAAAGATTCAAGACAGGTTTGAGACCAGTGTGAGCAAAATTGAGAGGGTTGGAGATGAATTCAATGTCCTGAGGAGGAACTACAGGTTAGAAGTCGATGGACTATGGATCCAGCCAGGTAACTATATCCAGCAGATGCTGAAAGCCTATGAAGAGCAGATTGGCAAGATCAAGCTTCAACAACTACCATCAGACAACTCCATCCAAATGGAAGACAAGTCAGAAGTGATGGATGACCAAGAAAGGATCAGCCTATTCAGGAGCATTGTTGGCTCAGGTATCTACCCTATGTCAAGAAAGGTATGATGTATCGTTTACAGTGAAGGAGTAAACTTCAAGAATGGCAATCCCAACAATTATGGCTTTTCATCACTTGAAGAAATTGTTGAGATTTGAAGAAGACTACGGACTATTGTCTAGTAGTTGAGTTCGCAGGAGAAGGCCATGTGAAGAAAGAAGAGAGCTAGTGGCGCTTGGAAACATTCCCAGATTCAGACTGGAGTGGAACAAAAGCCACAGAAAACCAACATCAGGAGGATTCCATGCAATGAACAAGTGCCCATTGTTCAATAGCAGCAGGACACAGAAGATCATCGGCTTATCTTCGTTTGAAGCAGAGTTACATGCAATAGTTTCCTCAGCGTCAGACGGAATCTACAGTCGCTCAGTTCTGGATTTGGCGCTTGGCAACAAAGGTGGATCATTACATTTTTACAGATTCGTCAAGTGCGCGCCAGCTGTGTCGAAAAGAGGAGTTGGAACAGTGAGACTTAGATGAAAAGTTGCTGTGGCTTCAAAACAGGAAAGACTACAAGTACCAACAGACAGCAACGTGAGCTTGAGAGACGAGCGTATGATTGTCAGGCAAGGTCAAAAATTGCAAAGATGATTGTCAGGATTGTTGCATTGGAGGGCTTGCAGCCACGGGTTACAGAAGCATTCATGAGAGAGAATGAAATCAAGAATGGTGGAGCTTGAAAGTATGATCAGAGAGAATGAAGAAGATGAACGCAGGATAGACAATCTCACAGACTATGCCAGAAGAATTCACAGTGGGTTGATTCTCAATGGAGACATTGTACAACAAGAAACACCCAATACCCTCGCTTTAATCAGCTATGTTGGGAGAGCTGAACGCAGGAAACTACTTAGCCAGAAGGAGCTTAGAAGACATGAGATCAACCGCAGAACAATATCATGGTCATCGGGTGACGATACAAGCAGCCAACCAAGCAGCAGCTTCCACAGAAGGACCATTGTCAAGAAGGTTTAAGCCAGGGAACAGACACCAAATGAACAAAGTGGAATGTGAAAAGGAACAGGCAGTACAGATATGTGGTCGACGTGAGAGAAAGGTTGAGCAACTGACAGAAAGACGTTGGGGACTGCTAGGAAGGCCAAGAAGAACTAGCAAACACAGTTAAACATGAGAAAGAACAACATGAGAGGTTGCTAGAATTAGCAGAGGAAAGAAGAGACAACTCAGAGAATGTACTAGCAGACGCCTGAAGAAATTCTACAGAAACCTGAGGGAAACAGAATGAACTATGGTTGCTGAGTGAGCTAAAACAGCAGTTCGAGCGCTCACACTGCGAAGAAGGAGTGTGAAAGAGTTTCAAGGTGAATCACAGGTAACATTGTGCAGGGCAGTTTGTTTAGTTGATTTGTATGCAGCCCTCTTGGATTAAGGAAAAAATCACATATATAGGTCCTAAGTGTATGAAGGAGAGAATGTTAAATGTCTTTGCACTTTCCAGCTGTGCAAAAGAATGGGCCACCGGCCGTTTCAAAATCACACTTTAACTTCCAGTCCGTCGGTATAGGAAGCTTCATGTTCTGGTTGTGCCAGGAGATGGGAGGCTATGATCACTGGAACAAGCACTTTACCTTCTTGTGCTCGCTGGTGTGGCCCCTGATAGATGCTTGGGCAATGCTTGGGACGGATGATCTGATGAGTTTGCTGACTTCTGTAGGCTGAAAGCTTTTGCCATGCACATGAAGGACAAAGAGGAAGAAGTCAACAGAGTTGAGAAAGAACTTTCAGATTTCACGGAAACAGGCAGGTGTCTTCGCTTAGAGGAGCCGTGATCTGATTTGACTTAGGAAAGCTACTGGCTGGTTTTGGTGCCTTGGTTCCGGTTCCAGCTCTACCTTGTGTAATCTTCGCCATTTCTGGCTAAGCTCAGGCATCACTTCTGTATATATTCCGTCACGGCCTTGTAATCATTGGAGAACGCCAAGCGGTGGCCTGCATGCAGACCTTTGCCAAGACTTTAGTCCACACTGGTCATGTCCAGTACGACGAGGCGAATGAACATAACTGCCAGTTTAAGCACCCACGAATAATTTGGTGCCTCTTGGCTTTTATATAACTTCATAGTTTTGGGAGTTCAGACAACATTCATGGCTTTGTTCGAGATGCAGAAACGCAGGGATTCTGGGTTCGCCTGTGTTGGCTGGGGTCGCCTGGTCGCCTCTGTCTAGCTGGCTGTCTTTGCAGGCTGCCTCTGCCGAGCCCCTGAAGTTCGCACTGCAAACCTACGGGGAGCTGGGAATCGTTCGCTGGGCACGCAGAACCGGAGAACAAGGGGACGCTTGACATGCATTTCAGAGTTGATCTCCTGTTATTTTGACCAAACGTGCGAGACAGTTTTTTGATACAGAGTTTTAGCTTCTTTCAAATGACTATGTGCGATCCTGAATTGCAGCGAATGACAAAGGGTTGTTTTGAATGATTCCAGACATAACTGACATGTGGTATTCATTTTGGGTCTCAAGCCTTTGCCTTACTACATTTTTGGGGTTTGAACAGACTTCTATGGCATCTCGTGGCAGGTTTTCCGTACAAAAGCATTCACATACTGGTTTAACAGCTCTTCGGTTCATTATGTAATTTATGAATGGCTCTGCAGAAGGCACTTTCCCAAAGGTGAATGATGATGCTCTATTCCAAGGTAGTGACCGAAGCCCGCCACCCGTGATCCGCACCAAGAATCAAACAAACACTGCGCTTATATTTCTAGGTGTGATGGGAACCGGGGTGGAGCATTTCATCAGGACGCACGACAGGTGCACTGAATGTGTGAGAGCAAGTAGCTGGCTCGGCCGGGCCGCACAGATCGTTTCTGGTCCGGTTCGGGAGGGGATGGGAAGGGGTGGTGGGGTAAACACCAAATGTGGCATGGTGCTTTTGAAAAGGCTTTTAACAAATTGGAAGCACGGCAGTCGCTGCAACAATACAACCTTGGACCGATGTATATAAGCAAACATTGTGCAAGATTTGATGCGCTTTTGACCTGTAGTGTATCCTTCGTGTGTATTGTGTGTTGGTGCTCTCTCACAAATGAATCACCATCAGCAAGAAGCGGGCCATCAAGGACCATTTGACTTTGGGCAATAAGCTCATTGAGATCAATAACAGGGTCAATGCTTCGCATTTAGACAGTCCCGGAACATTGATTCATGTCATTGATGTGCAGGCTTGCGTTTGGAGCGTTGCTTTGCAACATGTGCACAGCAATGCATTCAACTGAGTACTGTGCAAGTTAAACAAGCCCAAATAGATGCATACAGCTTGAGTTTCTATTTTTATGGTTGCCGTGTAACAGTGTAACGGAGCATTGGTGAAAGCGGACGTCGCCTGGGCCTGACAGACGCTGTGAGGAACAAATCGTGGCTTTGGAGCTAGAGCCGGAATACAGAGGCAAAAGGGGATGTCACAAGTGAGCTTTAGCTGCGTTTTAAGAAGCGAAGGATGTAGGGTTTAGGGTTTAGGATTGAGAATAATAATGTTTGTAGGGCCTCCCCCTAAAAACGATGGCCTCCAACCTTCTTAGCCGGTCTTAGCCTTAAGAAGCGAAGGATGTAGGCCAGAATGCAAAGTATTTTTCTTCTTGCCAGGGAATGAAGGCGACAAGTTCGGCGAGCTTACTCGACTAACCAATGCCGTTGCCTCGTATCGCCGATGTTGGCGAGAGCAGGACGGTTTTCCATTTGTGCGAGAGTGCAATGACATGACAGCCAGACGAAAGCTTTCCACACAAAAAAGTAAAGAACGATTTCTGTGACAACTGGTGATTCGAGCGATTGTCCACAGGAGGGCCCCGAAGATTTTCCGGACTACGTGGCCAGAATGGCCTTCTCGTCTCGGCTTTGAGCCACAATGGGGAGGAGGTTCATGATTTCTTTAGGTATTCATTGCCTATGTCAATGTGCTGTGCTAAACTTTGTGAATTCGTTGCCTGTTTTGGATGGTCTCTGCAAGCTGGCAGAGGAACATCTTAGTTGCTTTAAGTCACCAACTCAAATTGGAGCAGAGGCGTCAAAGACCCCATTTTGGAGACTTTTCAGATTGGAAGGTGTGGAGTCATGAGCCATTTGGCTTGGCCTCCGATCACTTTTTTCTGTTCAAATGACTCCGGGGTCTGAGGAATTTAGCTGGAAAAACATGCGATGCCCCAAATGATGACCCTCAATTGAGTCATTACATCCGGAACTCCGCTAGCGGCTGGCAATTTTGATTCAATTCCCTTCATGTTCATTTCATGTTGACAATCTCAACACTATGCTAGGCTGCCTCCCTTGTGTCGCTAAGTATATAGCTTGACACAGATATATGTCCCAGACAGTTGGGGTTTCACAGCAAACCCTGTCAGGTTGTTGCTCACAGTTTCTTTTCTTCACCAAACAGCGAAGAGCTACAAGACGACACGGGTCTTGGTTGCCATCATATCCAAGTGCATCCTTCGGTGGTTAGAATAGCGGTTGAGGCACAGCAAGGCACACTGGAGCTTAGCCGGATGGCCTGCATGCTTGGACAGACAGATGTAGCACAAATGGGAATGTACAGGAGAAGATGCTCGCCGCGCGCGCATTTTGGTTCGGAGGGGTGGAGGCTTCGGTCTCCAGTTTTCCGTTTCGTGATGGCTCCGTGGCAGTGGACTTAGTAGGGGGAACTGCGAGAGTGGCCGCCTGAGATCACCAGATACGCAAATCGTGCCCTTTCGAAGGCAAACCAAGCCGGCCATGTTGGCACCCGTTCTCACCGTTCTTTGTTTGGTGCCGATCTCAGTATTGACAACAGTACAAAATTAGGGAGTTCTGGTCACAGTCATTTTTGCAAGCTTACAGATCTCTCTTCATGCCCTCGCCTCTTTGCGTGCTTCCATTGTGGTACTTGCAAAGTTCAGAAAGACATCCTTGATTATCAACGAGCCACAAACAATCAGTCTACGGCAATATTGTTCACACGTCTTTTCACTGCACAAGGTGTATGCAGACTCTTTGCACACTGTTCTTCCTTGCTGCTTTGTTTGACCTTCGGGGGACCAGAGCAATGCTTGCTTTCTTTCAAAACTCCACGAAAGTGTCTTTGGGACATACTTGTCCTCCAACTGAGAAGCGTTATGGAGGACCTGATACTGCAGCTACTGATTCTTTTTGTCCCAAAGTCTACCCCATCATCACCCCTTGACGTCGCTGTTCAATCCTGGTCTGCTTGACAAATGTGAGCACGTACAATGTGATGCTGAAAACACTTTTGGACAATCTGCTCAACACTCAAAATCGCTCCTGGAGGAGCTTCAAAGCTTGTTTTTTGGGGTTTTCAAGAAGCACCTCCACGACTTCAGGATAGTTGTGTGAGTGACTTCTTGCCATGTTTGCCTCCAAAAGGATCCCAAACACCGCATGAAACACTTGCACTCTTTTTGGGGTTCCTGTAGACAGACCTCTGATTTTTCCAACATCAATGTGAGAGTGTCAAAACATTGTTCCTAGTAGTATGGCCAGGAGCCCCTAGTAGCGTCCTTGTTCCTAGTAGCGATGCCAGGAGCCCCTAGTAGCGTCCATGCTCCTAGTAGTAAGGCCAGGAGCCCCTAGCAGCGTCCATGTTCCCCTACAAGTTTTAAGGACCAAACCGTTATAGAACTGCATATCAGCATATCATGCTGTCAACATGTGGAAGATGGCTTCAAATCAAGCATGGAACCCCTGTCATTTGTGCCATATTGTGGGGAAAAGCACTTCACATACTGTAAACTTATGGTATATCACATATATACTGTACATCACAGGTCCGTGCGTACTGTGAACCACCAGTTTTGCCATACATGAAGAGCCCATGTCTTCTCTTGACTGTCATGTCATCATTTTCTTGTTTCTTTCTTCCTCTCCTGTCCAGTACCAAATTGTCGAGTGCCTTGATTACTTTGACAGGATTGAAGCGATTAGCCCACAGCAGATCTGTTGGTTCCAATTGTGCTCGTGTTGCTTTCTGCAGGTGGCCATATTTTCACCTTCTTGCTTTATTCTTTCCAGACCAAGCCCGAGGCAAGTCCTGTGAAAGGTCATGGAAGCGCAATAAATTTACTGTATATAGACGTCAGTGGTGGTAAGGTGGTAGGCTAGCTAGTACAGCAACATGTTCATATTCCTGGTTGGTCAAATGACTTTTCCGGTTATTGTTCACCACAGCTTTGAATTGGTTGGACAGGGCCCAAAGCAAGTTGTTGTTTCAGCACAAAGGCCAGTAGAGCCAACACCTGAACACCTGAATGAGACAAAACTAGCAAAAGAAATTAGGGATGCATCATGGGAATGAACTTAGAGTATCGTTTCGATTTCAGTCCAGGCCGCCAGATTGTTGCCATGCATGACTTCAAATATCTGTATGTGCAAAACTTCTCATGCATATCACATATGTAGTGATCAACTGACTCTTGGAATGAGACAGACTTTAGAACTCGTTCTCGCCAGGCTGCCTTCCCAGCCCAACGCAGAGTGGCTACCTTAGTCTTTAGCGGTGAATACTGCCCGACTTGCGAACATGTTTCAACATGCTGTGCCTTTTAACAAGATCGGGTGCCTTACTCTGGATTCAGGGTTGCGGACTGTGGTTCTCAGTGAGAGCAAGACGTCTTCTATGTCTCTAAACTCTAAACCAACAAAACTTAGCTCTGTCCAGTCAGAGTTGAATTCACAACTGTCCAACTCATGAGTCAAGGGCTGTTATGCTGCGAACTGAATACTCACTGAATACAACATCATCACTTCCCCATGTCAACTCGGGGACAAGCAAACCTAAACAAAAGTGGCAGCTAACAGGGTGTTTGAACACACAAACTGGCAGGTGTGCGAAACATCTTTCTCGGTTGAGCTTGGCAGCTCTTCCAACAAATGTTGCTAACTGTTCTAGGGCCTTCCAGGAAAAGCGTGAACATGTTTGACTGAAAACTAATTGTCTGTATTCTTCGTTGTTGCTAGATTTCCAAGTGAGAGCTGATTCGCTCACATCTGGTCTTGGATCTTGTTGGCAGCTGGATTGGTCGATCCTTGGCTGCTTTGTTACGTTGAGACTCAGTAACGACTTTGATTCATGACAGCGTACGTAGGGATTGGTTTGTCTTTCCTTTCTGCATGCATGTGTTTCTGCATGTGTCTTCTTCGTCTTATTCCGTCCAAAACCCAATGAAGAAAGTGGCTTCATAATTGAACATGAGACTGTGATGCATCTGGGGGAACTCAAATGTGTACCTACTACCTTGATACTGGCAGCTTGATTTGTCCGTGAGTCTGAGGTTCACCCTTCCGAATGTCCACTGTTTCGGGATCAATTTCTATATATATATATAGACTAGGGTACTTTACATACACTCAATAATCCCGACATGTAGTGAGCTTAGCTCGCTACAGTAATCAGACAGACTCCTTGGCAGCTTTCCATGCTGTTGGATAAATGTGAGATCAAACGGTATGACCTGGTTTGTGCTGGTTTTGCTGTATCAGGCACATCCAAGTTGGTAACATCCATCGTGGCTCTTACAGCTTTTAGTTTCATGCTTGTTGTGTCTTGTTGAAACTTTTGCGCGCTTGCATCAAGCAGACCTCCAAACATGTAGGCATAGGCATAACCTGTTATATAGATTATTCATCTAGTTCAGATAGTCTGACATCCAACCATAGCTTGTGCCAGAAAAACATATGATCTTAAACAAACATACATTTGCTATCAAACATCTTAGTATTCTATAGCCTCATCAATGCTGGTTTTGGCTTGAATCTCGGATGCATTCATCAATGCTGCAAACAAAGTAGTAGCGGTACCATGCTGATCATGATGAAAACAACTAGTATGTCAAGCCTTCATTGCTACGAAACAATCAGGAGCTTGAATACCTTCAAGATTAATTGCGCCAGAAGTGCTACCTCCAATATTGGCAACTGATGGCAAGTGTATCCACAAAACTGTCCACATCAATATTTATTGTCGACTACTATGTCAGAAGTATCAATATCAGGAAGTTGTCTACAAAGGATGAAGGAGGTAGTTGTCAAAGGTCATTTGGCTGCTCAATGCCTTGAAACTCGCAAAGCTTCAGGGCGAACTAGCTTAGCTCGAGCTAGTTCCTCCCTGGAACCAATAAACAAGAACCATGCTGGAAAAGTTTCTGGTGAATTTTGGTTCCCGGCCAGAGCCAGATCGAACCAGTTTTTGTACACATCCCAGAGCTAAATAGAAGAATGCAAGCCATATTACACAAAACCATGCTCCAGATCAGCTTCAAAACATCATGCCACCACACCAAATATATGTATAGTATATATATACACACATATTGCATGTATATATATACATACACATGGTACCACCCCTTCCATAGAGGTCCAATTTGCTCACCTGTACTTAGGAGTTTTTGACCTCCAAAAAGACTATTGTACACGTTTCTTTTGCTTCGAGATTCATGATTCCCCAGAAAAGTCTTTCTCCACAAATCTTGAATCACTCACTCAGGCTTCTTCTGTGTTTTGTTTTTCGCAAGAAGGTTCAATACTACCCAGAAACGTTTTTCCACGAATCTTGAACCCTGTACACAGGTTTTTTCGGGCAAACAGTATTTTGTGAACCTGAGCTAGATCATGGTCCCAACAAGTCACCAATTGACACCTGAAGACCCACATGAGTTGGCATGGACGTGAGCTGCATTCACACCGTGGCTCAAGGTATGAAAACATTTGCACATTGCACTTCTGCCAGTGCAGGCCTTCTCAGTCACCTCCCCTGAATTTGGTCAGATCATTTTGGTCTTTCACTTCTATGTCCCAGGGCGCTGACAGCACTACGGCGTCACTTTTGATCTTACGATTCTGACCGTGCTTGCCACCTGCCGTGGCTATATATGCAGCATGTTGGTGACATCACTGCAGCTTTCCGGCACGGACTTGGCTTCTCATGCGGCCGCCGTCGGGCCGTCCGGTAGAATTCCTGGAGTCAAGCCTGGACCTTTACTTTTTGAGCAAAGAGCCTGTCTATGGAACAAAGGATGCTCCTCAAGCGTTTCAGTCTTCACTGCACCGTAGTTTGCCGCCCGTGACTAAGCGAATGGACACTCCTGAGGGTCATGAGCGATCTCTTTTTCGTTGCAGCACACTCTAGTCGCTCAGGCCAAAAACAAAACAGTGGGTGTGAGAAGCTAGATCCGTGTCCCTACAAGTCTCCAATGGACACCTGAAGACCCACATGAGTTGTGAGCTGCCTCCACACACTCTCACATGACGCTGAACCGTGGCTCAAGGCATGAAAACATTTGCGCATTGCAGTGCTGCCAGGGCGGGGTCTTCTCATATTTAAAATGAAATGTTTTTAGTATTTTTAGGTTCAATTTTCACTAGAAACGTTTTTCCCACAAATGTTGGATCCTCTACTTAGATCACTTTTGGCACCAGCAAAAATATCCATGTATATAAATATATTATTGGATTCAAGCTTCAACACTCGAACGTGTTGCACAATATTCTTTTGGCAGACTTATCCAGATACAGGCGAAAAATCAAGAACAGTTCACCAAGCTTTGCAATAGCACCGCTTTTTCTAAATGCATGGTTCCCCGTGGATTAACATCAAAGCAGTCAGAAAATGAACACACCACTAAATGCCAATGAATCCTTTAAAAGGTAGATCTTTTTGAGGGTACCATATATATTGACATGTATATACTTATATATGTACACAGAAATACACACACATGCAGATGCATATTCAGGCCCAGCCGTGCTTCAAGTCAACAATTTGAAGGCTTTGGTGAGACTCTCAGTTGAACCTGTACCATTATGGCTTAGCATCATGTGCGACACCAGAGTCCCGTTGAACATGCATTCCTATCCTTCCCAGCAAGGCACAGGAAGTTCAATGACGATAGCAATGACCGCCCAGAACTCAATTTGTTTAGCTGATTTGTTTCATTGCTGTGTAACTTTTCAATTTGGCCAATCGATCAGTTTGGGTGAAAGTCGACCACAACTGATTTTCTTAAATAACATAGCAATCAAGCAGGAAAAACCAACGGGTCATGTTTCTACTTGATCCTGAGCGATGCTGAAGGCAATAGCAGCTTTCACTGCAAAGGTGCTGCGGTCCAAAGTGACTAGGCGCAGCTGTCCTGTGGATGGCAGCTTGAAAGTAGACATAGGATCCAGCTGCTGTATTGTGCCGTTTTTGAATACGTGTAGGAAAAAACCCGTCTATGCCGATTTTGTGAGGATAGCACGTGACTAAGGTCTTGAACCCATGTCACCGTCACTGGTGTTCTGATAGTTTTTTTCAGACAAAACTCTTGCTTCTCCAGTGGGCTGGACTGTTTATGAAAGCAAGCCAGCTGAAGTTGATGGCTAGTAGAATGAGTAAAGTGATTGTCGGGGCTGTTGGATCGTTTGAAGGCATCGGCCACAGACACGAACTTGATGGATGACAAAGAGCTGGACTGGCCAAATGTAGAAGTTGGGGGATGCTGAAAGAGCAGACGCAAGGGGGAAAGGACAAATGGATGCCCTGTTGATTGGTGGATTCATGATGAGGAGCCTGGGAGAACCCGTGCTCTGGCACAAAAAGGGGCTGCTTTCCTTTTCTCTCCCGTCTCACATAGGGTTTGTCCAGTGGGATATTGTTTGCTAGTGTGCAACTTTTACCTTGTGAAGATACCATTGCCAAGATTCAAAAAGATTTCTGCTGGATACAGACAGGTTGAGTTGAGCCAGGGCAAACGGGGTGCTTCCTTTTTCTTGTTTCTTTCTTCTTCAATGTACACGGCGGTTGCAGTAACGTGAACTATACAGGTGCTTTCCGCACTCTGGAAAGTCTGGCAACTTAACTTACAGCCGTTGAGAGCCCCTTCCTGATGGATGCAACATCTTATCCATACTTGAGCGGCTCGAGCGCGAGGATCAAGCCTTTTAGCAAGGCCTCAGCATTTCAGCGTTCTTTCAATTTTTCCATCATATTCTGTTTCTTGCAGCGGTCAGCCCGCGCAACTTGGCCTTTGTCTCCCACTTCTCTCGCCACTTGCGTCCTGTTTGCGCATGACTTGCCCTTGGTCCCACTTGTTTGCCCACTGGGTAGGTCCAAGACTTGGCACTTGCGCCAAATGGTCTCCCCACATGCATGTCTCTCACTTCTCTTGGTTGGACTTGGCCTTTGTTCCCAATGCCTTGGCTTCGGCTCTCAATTCTTGCAATCATAAGGATGTGGCCTTTGTTTTCCTTCTTGTCTCTGACGTTGTTGAGTTTGCAGATGTGTCGTCCTTTTTTCTTTACTTGGTTGGTAATTGTTTTCTCTTATAATCTATATAGATGCTTCCCGCCTTGCATTTCAACATTGCAACTGATGATGTCCTTTTGGGGGTAGCATGATTGTGCACTTTCTTTGTGCTGTGCAGGCATGCCAGAATTGTAGGCACCAGGGATGATTTCAAAAAAGCAGCACCAAACTGGTGTGGCTGGCCTGATTCCGTGTAGCGTTTGTTTGTGTGACATTGAACTTTCGTGGTCGGCCCAAACGTGTGTTTGCGTGCCAGGGAAGAGTGCCCCAAGCCAGAAGAACGAGTCAGGAATTACTATTATGGGCAGCGCGGCACTGGCCTCAGTCACGCTAACAATCTAGTTTGGGCAGCTGTTGCTATTCTTATCCATAAATGGCCACAAGTTGTGGAGTTATGGCACTGTCGACAGTTGAGTAGAGTTTGCCAAGAAGCGAGTTTGCCATTCTTACTGCCAGTCGCAAGCCTTTTGCCACGAAGTAGTTTCAACATGTCCTTTCATGTACTATGCCACTATGCCAAGCTATGCGTAGCTATACGGCTATACGTACTCCTTGTGGAGTGATATTGGAACTTATATAGGCATATATAAGTGTTACTTTTGGGGACATGGCTGTGGACGAGCTTTTGGGGCTCAAAGGACAGAAAGCTGTCTGGTGGGTGGGCTTTGAAGCCACGTGCAGGATGGCAGGGCTATGCCTTGCCTTAGCCATGTGCGTGGCGGCTGACCGGTGGTAGCAACGCCTTGGAAGCGCAGTGGCCGCGGATGGAGGAAGCGGCCTACAAGTGGACGGTCGAGAGCCACCGGCCGGTCACCCTTTCGACTTGGCCTATGGCTGGTGGTGGACACCGTTGCAGGCCTTTTTGGCAGCGTGTGGGCTCGCGTGAAGTCCTCGCCTTGCGTTTGGTGGCGCACTACGTATGGGCGGTGTGCTACCCCATCGTCTCAGTGATGGATGGCCGTGGTGCGGGTCTGTCGGAAGATCCTCATGGTGAGTGGGTGGTCTGGGGACTCCACTGAAGGATATCACAGAGGGCATCCACCAGAGCTGGCTTGGAGGGATATGAGCACATGGCGGAGACACCATTGGCAACCAAGTCCCCCAGGATTGAACAAGGCGTTCGCTCCGTTCTGCGGGGATGTGAAGGAGAGAGTCGACGAATGATTGGAGGAGAACCTTGTGGGGGATAAGAGCCCGCTAACAGAGAGAGCTTATGGAGGAACGGAGCAAATGGTGCGCCAAGCAAGGCACCCTCGAGCACGAGAACAAGCTGCTGGCCTACGCGGGGCACCTGGGTTGAGAGCTTCGCCAAACACGACCCTCCAACACCTGTTTGGCATGAAGAACGTTCGCCTGCTGGAGGGCGTGCGCCCCACCTGGATCCGGAGATGCTGGTGTGTCTTGGGAAGAACTTGGTCACCAATCCATCGCTGCAGACGGCCTGGTTCTTCGTACTTCGAGCGAAGGAGTTCGGCGAGTCAGAAGGGGCTGTGACATCTGCACCTCCAGGACAGGCCACCGAGGTCACTGGGTCCCAAGAGAGAAGTTGAAGCTTCTGTTCAGATGACTCACTGAGCCACCTCAGACATCGAGCTGGCGAAGAGGATGGGGAGGTGGTTTTGTTAGCGGTACAGAGGCGCCTGTTCGATGGAGGAAGGGGGAGTGCTTCCTCCAAGCAGATGGCGCAAGGAGGGGAGAAAGAGAAGAAGGTCACGGTGGCCAGAAAGGGTCCCTGACCACACACAAACCAAAAGGGGTTGAGAAACCAACTGAAGTGTGCCCTGCCGCCAAGACAGTCGCGCGGAGGGCAGCATGGCGCACCAAAGTTGGAACTTAGCCTTAATAAGAGAAGAGTTCGTTTTGGGGACATGGCTGCGAGCTCTTGGGGCCAAAGGATTAGAAAGCTGTCTGCCCGCCCCTGCCACCCAGGGGCCGGAAAGGGTCAACCAGTCAACCCAAAAGCGGTTGAGAAACCAACTGAAGGGTGTGCCCTGCTGCCAAAACAGTCGCGCGGAGTGGTGCACCAAAGTGGGATGTGAAGGGGTAACCCTCGCTCAGTTACAGTACATATATACTCGCAGCAGGCCGCATGACCTTTTTGTTGTATGCTATGCCATAGCTTCAAGACGCTGTCTAGTGCCAGTGCCGAGGCTTTAAGAAGAATCAAATAGACCCTCGCTATCGTGACAAGGACAGACATCCCAGGCGTGTCACTGTTGCAGACTACAACAGGCTGGCAAAGCTGACAATGAATGAGCTTTGGAAGGAGCCTGCGCGAATGAAATTGGGCCACATCACTGATGTGCTTTGGCTTCAAGCTTTGCAACGTTGATGGGCACATGGTGTTTGTATACCATAGATTTGATGAATTATATATAAGCGGAAAGGATGCTGGTAGGTCCGAATGATTCTTTCTAATCGTGGCAGACGCGCTGGAACTTTGCCTGAGATTTCAATGAGGGTTGCAGTTGGCCTTTCAGATTCTTAGCCAGAGATCAACTTGGCACGATTGAGCGCCGAAATGTTCACTTGGTCGTGGGTGCTTTAAAGCAATTACAAGTAGTCATTGTTCGAGTCGTTCGACAAGGCAACAGCAATCTTCAAGACGCAGGACTGTGTCACAGCTGTGATTTGGTTGAAGCAACCTTGTGCACACATGCGTATTGTAAATGCTTGCATGCAAACATGCAACATGCAGTGCAAAGACTGCAGTTCGACAGGACTTCTACAAAGCTGACTTCGTTGATTTAGACGCCAGCAGTGTCAAGGAGGCTGTGTTTGTCAGCAAACTTTTCCTTGCCTTTACTGTTGCTTCCGCAAGTTGTAGTAGTCCGCGGGGTGTTTTGTCATAGTCATAGAAGCATCTCTTTGAAACAATTGAAATGAGCGAGGTGGGATCATACCAGGTGGCAGGGACAGGCAAAGTGGCCATCCCTGCAAAAGCACGGTGGCTCAGTCACCAGTGGCATCGTGGATGGATTTTCATGCCCTTATATTGATTTATAGTGATATATATATATATGTAATATATAAAGATTATATGTATATATATATATATGTATTTGCATGTACATATCTATTTATATGTGCATATATATATATATCTCAATAAATAGATGTGTATCTACACAGTAATTTGCAATGCAGCGTTGTCAAAGGGTGCCTGGGCCATGCCTGCTGCAACTACACAGCAACCTGCAACTCTACTTTGTCCTCCCCGGAACTTTTTCCTGCATGGCATCTGAACAAACTTGACCTTGGTACAGAAGCTCCTTGTCCAAGCCACACGAGTACAGTTCCCAGCGCCTGCACGCAAAGTCAGTTTTCCATTCTTTGAGCACGCTTCTTTTACTAAAATATGTCATTTCACGTCGCTTCAAGACCATGAGTACATGTGCCCTAAAAGGGAGCGCAGCCTCCCTCTTCCTGAAAAACAAGGTAACGCGCCCCTGTTTGGGACATGTTTTGTTAGAAAATACCATGTGTTTTTGCTAGTGTGGAAAACGGTCATTTGAGGCCAAGGACGACGAAACGTTATTTCCACGAATTTCAAGGGAGGAAACCAATGGAAACCACTTTTTTCAACAGCGTGTGCGCAAGATCTTCGAAAGGGTGTGTGCATGTGGTATCATCTTCCAAGCATATCCACCCAACGCAATTAATTATATACCCCGTCACCCAACCCCACCCACCCCACCCCACCGATCTTCCCAAGCTTCTGTGGATGTGGCGTCATCTTCCAAGCATATCCAACACACTACCACCGACAAGCGCAAAAATTCCGAAGCGGAAGGAAATTCAGGTCCAACCACACAAAAAGGAACTGTGAACAAGTACAAAGAAGCTAGGGGTTGTCCTGATTCAACATAACAAACTAACATTTGTGATTCAAAGCGAACATGTCAAAGTCCAAACTTTCACGCCTATTGCAACGACATCGGACAACTCTTCGTGGTTTGATAAAAATTGCATGACTACTTACTAGCGGGGTTGTCGACCCGCTAGCATTGAAATGTACATCATTTTCCCCCCAGTGGCCCTGCGAAAATCAGAAAACATTGCAAATACCACATGAAATTGGGAGCACTTGCTCAAGAAGACAAAAGCGTACGGCGGTGACGGGGCGTGACACCAACAACAAGTCAGGCACTTTGCAACAAATGCAGCAGATCTTCTAATTTTGCCCTGATCTATTTCTTTCAGTTACTACTATATCAGGCTCGCACTATTTTGAGGGGTTGGAAGGACACACACCACCATCGCCCCACCTGGAAGGGGAGGTAAAATCTTCAAGGCAATTGTGCTATGTGTCTATGTAGAGTCTATCCTAGCAAAAGCAGATTTGGTCAGATTTGATTGGTTCATGTTGCTTTGCTGGGGTTTGCGTATGGGTGACCCAAAGGCCTGAAAGTTAGACTCAAAAGGGAGCCCCCCTGGCACAGGTGGCGGGGTAGGGGCTTCATGCGGTCTTGCGACACTTGAACATGAACCCAAATGAAATTCAGAACTATATACATTGTGCAAGTGGCCCCCACAGATGGCAGGAAAGGTGATGGATGCAAAGAGCCGCTGTGAACAATTGAAAACAGGGAGACACTCACTTACGCCGCAGGTGAATCTCTTAACGCCAGAGCAAAGCCACGGTCCTACGAGCAGTCCACAAAGGGAGACCCAGCCATTGGAGGCCTGAACATGCAAAGTCAAAACATCAAAGAGCGATTAGCAGCTGAAATGCAGTGCGTGGTAGGGGCACATCTACGCTGCGTGGATGCTCCCAAGATACGTTCAGCCATTGATGTTCGATGACAGGGTCAGCGACCCAAAAATGCGCTTGCTGGCTGAAGAAGCATGGAACCCCCATGGTCAAGTTGACCTACATTCTTTTTGCACAAGGGGAGCAGTCCCTCAAGCGACCTGATCTTCATCAAACATGCAAAGCCACAACCGTCATCATAGGACGACCATAGGACGACGGACCACAGCAATCATGGCAGAGCAGGGCCCAGATATCACCGGGAGTAGCATGGCCCCATTAGCATCCCTTGTGCCTGAGCGCCTACAGATTTCTACATGTTTTTGCTGCAATAGAACTACTTTAGATCCAATCCGGGTGACAACGAGAATGCTTCATTATGCATTCGAAGAAAAGCCCGGGGGGCAGCATGTTTTCATGTCAAAATCTAAACTCTGGTGTGAGCGAGTAGAGAATGTGCTTGGGCTGGACACTCAAGTCGAACTCACAACACGCTCAAAATATCGATGGGATTTTTCATACCAAGTTGCGGATTTGCGCAAACAATTTTTATCAGATTCCTTGGAATCATGGCTGTAAGAGACTCAATATGTAATTTGGAGCCAGCAGATTGACCTTCACGGGCTCTATCCCCGGAAAGGTTGTTGGAATGCGGGGCCTTTCCTGTCTAGCGTTCTGTGCTTCGAGCCCTTTGTATCTCCTGTTTTGCTTGTGGCTTTGCGTTGGCTTCGTGCTGACCGTCCTGCTTCGACTTTGGCTGTTGTTTCACCGCCGTTCTTGGCTCATCCCTGTGCAATCCTCGGGCTCCGTCTCCTGCTTTACGCCTGGGTGCGTATTTGTATCAGTCCCGTCTGAGATCGCTTTGTTGATTGAGGCTGTCTGAACCTTTGTGGTTGCTTGCTGACTCTGGACTCTGCTGATTGGGCCTTGGCTGACCCTTTGCCACCTTGAGCATTGTTGATCTTCGTGATTGCCAGAGCAGCAGAAAGCAGGTGACCAGGGGAACCAGCAGCGGACAGCAGCAAGAGCGGTGTAAGTTGCATTGTGTAAGTTCAGGAGGAGGCGGACGGGGAGTAGCACAGTAAAGATAAGAACTCCACACCAGCTAGCATGTGACATGCGGGAATAAATTTGAGAGAGGAAAGCAACGAAGGAAGGACACATAAGTATTAGGAAAACAGTCGTAGAAATTAGGCAGGTGGTGAGGGCGTGGTGACCAGGAGGTTTGACTCTACAGAATTATGATCCCACAAGTCAATTTCTAAAAGAAGCAATTGAAATTGGAATCCAATTGAATGTATTTTGTTTGGTCAATTGACATTCTGCATATAGGAGTAAACAAAACTATCAACAAACATCTTTTTTAAATTGAGAGGAGGGTGGTGAGGGTGGGACCAGCAATGATTGAAAGTATTTATCACGGCAAAAATTTGAAAAGTCAGAGGCCATCAGCCCTGATATCTGATAGCTGGTCTTACGTACCCAGGCCTGGCGTGACATGCAAACTAGCAGAGGCTCAATATTTCATACCAACACCACAAGATTTCTTAGCACGCCATGACTAAACATAGAATACTGTTAATGGAAATTCCAAGGAATCTAAGATTACATTTCCAAACTGAACCTTGACGAATCTTGTATATCCATTTACAAGACGCGTCTTTTTGGATGTGGTAGAGACTTGAAGAACTGAATGCAGTTCAACCCGCTTTCGATCAGGTTGAATGGTGCGTTAATACAATTAAACTCATGGTGTCTTGACCCGAAACAGTATTTCTCTGTGGATGTTCTTTTTCTTCTGACAAGTCAAAGAGCACTGGACGTAGAACAGGTTATGAGCCCAAGCTTGTCATTGTCATTGTATGTTTAGAATAAGACGCAGCCTAAGAAAAGAAGTGTATGTATATAAGCGCATGTTTTTGTTGGATATGATTCTCAATGCTTTTTTATATTTTTTTTTTATTTTTGATGATCATTGTATAATGTGATTCTTATTACTGTACTACTGATCATCGTGTATTGTAGTCAATTGTTATTCAGTAATGCTGTTGACGCACAGTGTCAAAAAACCTTGCGAAAGCAAGTTCCCTCCAGTGCAGCCTTGTTTGAGGTCCCTGAGTACCGGCCCATCCAGCGTGGGAAGCGATTGGAGAAGGAACCTGTCAGAGAGCTGAGTGAGCAGCGATTTTGATAAAACATGTTTCAGACGCCAGCCAAATTTTTTGCGAACAGGGCGTGCTGGCATTTCTCTCAAATCATTGGTTCAATTCAAGTTCTTTCTTTTTTTTGCCGAGTCAATAGTTGTGCTCACTTGCCAATGCATTTGATGTTTTTCTCTATATCACTGTTCTCATGAAACAAACACCATGAGACACAAACCTCGACCAACCCAAACCTCGACCAACCTTTGTATACAGCGCAGTCTAGGATGGGTCAGTTTTTCAACCTTTTGTCAAGAAAGCTCGTCATTCAGGCAAAAGGAATGTGCATGCTGTCTAAGGGCGAAAAGCGACCTCCAGTGGAGGATGGTGCCTATTTGACGTGCTCCATGATTCAAGAATTAAACCATGATGAATTTTGCTGTGGGAAACATGATGTCTCGCATGTTTGCAGGTACGTTGACGAGAAGTGCAATCTCTACGACACCGCCAAAGAGGCAGGCGTAGAATCCAGCTACGAGCTACAGAGCCATCTCCGCAAGTTCTCTTGTCCCAACATCCTTTTCGTGCCCTGACTATTTTTGTAAGGATACAAAATTGCTGCAACCATTGTCAGGCCGCACCATCAGCTTTAACAAAGGATATTATATGTGACCGTGGATCCCTTCTGCCTGGTTCTGAGAATTTGGATAGGCTTTCGAAGCTACAAGACCATGGAAAGCATTCGAAACAACAATCAGAGAACCGCTTGAAATGTGCATGGTACCCTGAACCTGATATACATTGCTTTGTTTTGTAATTTTTTGGAATGCCACGCTTTGTGTCACAATTGTAATCGAGCGGTGAGGATATTTTGGGGCCACCTTGCAAAGTCATTCAGTATCCATCATATTAGTGATGTTAGATTCGCATCATCAACGGGTTGTCGAGGCTCCGATTGCGCTACGAAGGTCGAACTCATTCTTTTTTCCGAATGCATAGCAAAGGGTTCTCGTTCAACTCTGGGGGTCTGGGGGTAGACTCTTGTTCCCGACTCGTTGTCGTAGCATGGGCAACCGTCAGCAACCATCTGCAACCGTCCGCAACCGTTCGCAACCATCCGCAACCGTCCGCAGGTGGAGCGCTATGGAGCTTGCATGGGCGAAGCTTTTGGAGAGGGTTTTGGATGGGAAGCAGCCTCGTGCAAAATGCTCGTTTTGGAGGTGACGGTTGAGTTTTGGAGGCTTTGGTAGTAGTGCCTCACAAGAGTGTCCTGCAAGAGTTTCCCACAGGTCCCACAAAAGAGTGACCTACAAGAGTGTCCTGCAAGAATGTCCTACAAGAGTGTCCCACAAGAGTGTTCTACAAGAGTGTTCCGCAAGAGTGAGTGTCACACAAGGTGTCCTAGAAGAGCGCGCAAGAGTGTCCCACAAGGGATTCTGACACAAGAGTGTCAGTGCCCTACAAGAGTGTCCTTCTAGGGTATCCCACAAGAGTGTCCTATAGAAGTGTCCTACAGGAGTGTCCCGCAAGAGTGTCCCACAAGAGCGTCCTACAAGAGTGTCCCACGAGAGTGTCCTACCAGAGTGTCCTGCAAGAGTGTTTCACAAGAGTGTTCCGCAAGAGTGTGTCCGATAAGAGTGTCCTACAAGAGTGTCGCGCAAGAGTGTCCCACAAGAG